CACACACACACACACACACACACACACACACACACACACACACACACACACACACACACACACACACACACCCACTGCAAAGCTTGTATTTTCAAGTCTTTCTCCAGCTTTCACGCTTGCTCCTCATCCATCCACAGCCATGACACACCTCCAACAGGCACCTCATTTCTGATGGATTTTAGTTCATGAATGAAAAAGGGAGGGATGTCCACCGATGTGAACTCATACAGACAAGAAGCTTTTATCAGTTTTACACCATGTCACTTTGATTCACAGACGACCTCTTTACCTCCGCTGTGTGTGTGTAAACGGTGTCAGTGGTGTGTCATTCCTAAAAATCCCATCTGAGGTTGCCAGCAGCCCTTTGATCAAGTCACCACGAGTTTAACAACCTCTTAGAAGTGTGGCCTCTTTCCCCGGCACCAAGTTCTGATGCAGCCTAAACACTCGGTAGAACAATTGTTTCCAGGTAGCTGTTCAACTGATGGTTTCCTTTTATCGGCTAACATCAAGTGTTCCTGCATTGACTTTACTATAGTCAGTGAGTCTTTATTGAATCTACAGATGCTTAGATCCTATCAAGTCTTTTAGGACTCTAAATGAAAGACCAATGAAACAGTAAATAGGCTTATTCTGGAGAACAGAAATATGTTAACTATATTATTTGGCTCGGAGAAGACGGTGCTTACCTGTAGGTGTGAATGTAAAAGATGGCACTGTTGAAAACAAAAAGAAAAGCATTTTGTGAGTTCCCATGTTCAAAAAACTACTATCTTTAAAATATGACACAGTCTTACAGGAAGTCTTAAAGGGGGCTTTTACACACTTTTTGCAGCCCCCTGTTGGAGGCCTTGAGGGGAAATTTATGTTAAACCAGCTGCTAGTTCTGATTCTGGCCTAGACTGTCAAAGTTCTGCTGTTTGTGGACCACATGGGAGCCATATTCTACTTCTGACATGCACATCATCTACCTCAAAGTTTAGTCACTTGTAGTTTAGCTTTTACATATTTATTTTTTGTTTCAGCTGCTTCTATCATCAGGGTTCACCACAGTGGTGAACGCCAATGAATTGTCTTGTAATTGTTTAATGCCAGATGCCTTTCCTGATGGGCTCAAACCTGCAGCCTTGGGATTACAAAACTACAGAGCCCTAAGCTACTGCATCCTGTTTGGTTTAATGCATAAGTAAATGTAATACAAAAAGTAATGACATTTATGTTTGGTAGATTATTTCTTTGTTGCAACAATGCTTCTTAGCAATAAATCTTATATTGGGCACCTGACTGGCAGTTGGGGGCACCAGAAGCTCAAAACAAGTGTCAACAGCAACAGCAAGCTATTTGGCAAAGAGGATTTGGCAAGTTTTTCATGTGTACAACCCACATACTCAGCTCTACTGCTCATCCCACAAATGCATGTTCCTTACAAATGTGGCACCATTTAAAAGGGTAATCACCAGACTTTGCAACAGTATAAGATGTATTGCCAAGAAGCATTGTTACAACAAAGAAATAATACCAAACACAAATTTCCTCACATTTACGCTAAGCATGTTTTATTGATCTAAAATATTAGGTTTAGGCCACTAACTGGTGTGGCATAACTTGTTCTTTGTTTCATTGTTTAAAAACAGGACAAATGCTACATTAAGTACAGATTCTGATGCAACATCACAACCCGTTTATAGTCATCAACGCTCCTCGAACTGCAGGCTAAAACTTCATCTGTGAAATCATTCGAGGAGATAAACGCTGCTCATGAGACGTCGATATTTCCCAAAATGATTCATAAAGTACCTGTGCCAACAAACAAGATACAACCATCTTATCATGTTTGAATCTCTTCTTTTGATGCTCAAACAAGTCTGGAGATTTCAGTTGCGAGACAGCTTTTATAACTTTGATAAAAGTCTTTGAAGAGGAGACACAGTCTAAACTAAACAGCCTGAAAAAAATAGTGAATGTGATTAAAACACACAAATCAGTTATTCTTTGTGAAACAGTTGGGCCTCATCACTTGAGTGTTTTACCAGCCTGAAATAACTTGCGAATGTGGTTTATTTATTTCTTAATAATTGTTCAAAGTATTTCAGTTAATCATGTTTTAATGATTTCTGCTGCATTATTTAAAAATTGCTTTGCAAAGTGATGAAAAATATTTTTTCGTCCAAACACAAGTGTCATTAGGCTTCAGTCGTGGCCTTAGTTCTATAAAAAAAAAAGAAAAAAAAAAGAAAAAAAAACTAATAAGCTATTTGCATTTATATGAAATTGAAAAGAAAAAAAATCATATTTTTGCATTATTAGTTGTTAGAAATAACACCACCGTACAGCAGAGACACAATCCCTGATTCAACCTTTTTCACCCTGACAGCAGATTGTGGATTCATGTGGTTGCAATTATACTCTTTGAGAAACATTCTTGGTTACCAGATCTAACAAAGACTGTGGCCTTTTGTGGTCTGGGTGCACATAGAGGAGGAGGAAGAGGAGGAAGAGGAGGAAGGAGGGGTGGTGCACGCCTGCCTACGGTTCCCTGAAGAGCTTGTTTTTTTTTCTCAATATCTGAGCAAACAACAAATAGAATCACAGAAGGACAAAGGGTAACCTCATTCTGCATGACATTCTCCTTTCACACCTGATGGTAGGTCATTATGCCATTTAATCTAATACATGAGAAAAACACAATAGTTCTAACCATTACAGACAAGGATTTAAAATAAATACGGAAGTTAGAAAAACAATAATAATCTTTGTCAGAGCGTCTCTCATTTGACATCTTCCATCAGCCGCGGCTGCAGCAGAACCAGGACAGAGATGGCCTGAGTGTTCTGTTCGGCAGCCACGGATTAACAGCTAAATCAGTCCATTGTTTGTGCATCAAGATTGAAGGGTGGATCTCTTCTAACCCTGGCAGTCAGTATTAAACCTGAGCCAAGGAGAGAGAATGGAGCAGGTAGCGCTCACAGCAGCAGCTGCACAGCCCAAGGCCACACATTAAGCCGGCTAACACTTAAATGAGACTCAGAGAAAGGCTAATGGCAGTTTTTATACGTTAGCTGTTATGAGCAGAGGCTGGGCATGTCATGAACTCTGTCACTTCAGCTTAACTTAGGTAAAGAGCCATTGTGCTATGGTCTGGCTATTCTCTTGGGTTTGACGTGCATCCTGAACACACTCGGATCAACTTAGATACTCAAAACATACAACGAGCAACAGGCCAACTCCTGCGTATCTCAAGGCCTTTCGCTGAAGAAATCAGAAAATGGAAAGTATGTGAAAATGTCAGCTTGTCCTTGATAACGAAAGAATATGGCAAAACATCCCCCCCCCCCAGCACTGTCAGAAGGGAGTAGATAAAATAAGAGTTGTTGGACATCAACAAGTGCTTGACTGAAAACACTCTTCACACCTTCACAGAATGAGCCTGACAGAAGCCTGAAATAAAAAGACATCACCATGTTGCACTCTCAGCAGGCGCTCACACTGCTTTTTATAAAGAGTTTGGTAGATCGCATTGAGTGCTCTACAGGAAAAAAAAGAGGTATTATGAAGGATGATAAGAGGTGAATTGGCAGCCGTTGTGAGGGGAAAGAAACAAAAGCACACCACACTCATCAATATTTAAATGAATATTCTCACCAAAATAAAAGTGAACCATTTCCAAACTTATAAAAACTTGACTTGTGTTCTACTCGTGCATTTACCTTTACGTATGCCTGCGTAGCTGCTGGACAGGCCGTTCCTTTTCTTTCTGTGCCTGTACAACCAAATGCTGAAGACCATCAGGATGATCCAACATGCAGCTCCAATGCCGGCTATAAAAGCAGGCTGCTTGACTACATCGGAGATCTGCTGGGACAAAGGGTTCTCCTGGTTCATGGTGTCGGAGATTCGACCAGATGAATCTAGGTGAGGGGAGAGATTAAACGAGATGTGAGAACAAAAATACGCACAAAAAATGTTTTAGATCATGAAATGAGTAGGAGGTTGTTATGTTTATGAAAACAGTAGGAATGACAGGAAAGGAAATATTCATTGGTTGTTATTTAAACTGAGGAGAGGGAGAACAAAAAACAAGTCCCCCTAAAATTTTAATTTTTTTCTTCTCAGCAGGTGAGTATGAGACTGATTTGGCAAAATTGAGCTGTTTGTATAATTCAAAAAGGCTTTCACCCCCAAATCCCAGTCAACAATGGCAGGTGAACAGACAAAAACAACCAAACAGAGCCTCTGCAACAGAGCAGCCTGATGAAAACCAGATAAAACACCACGAGGCATCATTTACACCGAGCAATGGTTGTTTCCTAAATGTATAAATAAATCCAGAGAGATTACCCTCAAATACAGACACCATAATAATTAGCAAACTGTGAAAAGCTGAGGCGTGAATGCCTTGAAGCCATCTTTGCTGTGAAATGCACCGTACAGATGCCGTCTGCGCAGCTGCTCACAGGAACCTGCTTTTGATCTCTCATCTTTCTTTGCTTCTTCACGTCTGATACTTGAAAGACTTACCTGACTTGCTCAAGCCTCTGCCATTTTGAATTTTTTTCATGTTCTTATTGATTCCTCTTCTCTTTTCTCAAGTCTTTCAAGTTGTAACTATTCTTCTCTATTATCTCTCAAAACCAAAACATGTCTACTAAAGAATTCAGCCCCCTTTCTTTGACCCCTCCATAGCTTTCTGTTTTACAGTCTGTCAGTCAGTCAGCCTCACTTCTCACGTCCCGTCATCTCGGTCTGTGGCTCTGTCTGGCCGAGGGATCGGAGCATACCCATGTGACTAAGCAGCCCACAAGGGACTTGTACAGGTATCTAGACCAGGATGACGCATACCAACTCTGAGTGTGACAAATGCATTTGGTTGGAAGCGCCGGTCCCTGAGGCACGTTGTTCCGCTCCGATGTTGGAACATGGCAACAATCACCGCAGGAACTCTTCAAGTAAGATAAATTGTTTCAGTCACAGGAAATGCTTCTTCATTCCAGCCCCGGCCCACTCAATCACACATTTAAAACTGGATGGAGCCGTTTCTCTCTCCCTCCTCTACACCCTGCTTCTTGTGTGCTTTCCATAGCACATGTTAGCAAGCCAGCTCGCACGTTTTGAAGATTAAAAACAACAAAACTGATGAATTATCTCAAAAATATTTGTCCATCTGGAGAATAAAGATGGGGAAAATAACTGAGCTATGTTGGAGGATAAAATGCTTCTCAGCATCACTAACATGTCATGTCACAGATCACGCGTTGTCTTTGTTATCTGAAGCAGAGCAGCGGCAGAAAACGTGTCTTTGAATAGAAAACAAGGAAGGGTGCGGCACTCGGCTCAACAGCTCTGCCACGCAGGAATTCAACGTACCTGTTCTGATCACAGTGGCGGCTATTGTTGCAAAAATAAAAACAACCTATAAACCCCACTCTTGTCATTCAAAGTCATCACACATCTCTGTGGCAAGTTTCATGACGCTTGCAGAAGAGCAATCAACCAAAATTATAGTTTGAAGAATTGCTGATGATGAAAAGAGAAGCAGGTAGAGGCTTGAATACGTCTCCTGCTACAAAGAAGGGAATTACATAAATGTCTGTTTACTTGGCAGAAGGTCATTATAATGGGAGCTTTTTTATCTGAGATGGACAGGTTAATGCTATAATTATTTGTCAAGTTATTGGGCTTCATTTATTTGGAAGGGCTGGCAGGGAACAAAGCAGCTGCAGTTTTGTGTTCAGTGGGAACGGGGAGGCTGAACGGGTAAACGGCTGTTTCTGCTCACCTAGCTGAAAGTAGGTGACTTCACTCTTGACCCCCGGACCGGCGCTGGTGCTTGCTGCTACCTCGACGCTGTAGCGGATGCCAGGGATCAGGCTGGGTATCAGCATGGATAACGTCGAGCCATCAACTGTTCGGTTAATGTGATACCTGCTCTCATTCCCCAAGCACCAAACCTGACGGAACAGAGGCAAGCATGGAGAGTAAATTGAAGCAGCGTTACGAGACTTTTGTGACAACATTTGCTTTAGATGCTCTCACCATTTTAGCATGCACTGGATATTATGTTACACAGTAAGTAAACACTCCTAATGTGACTTTGTTTAATAGACTTCCTTTAACACAGGGCGCTTTTTACCTGAGGTAGCCATAACAAATCTAAGAGTAGACTCAAAGCCCCCCTCCGTAACCTCATTTTAAAGCAAACTAAGAGCTGTCACTTGCAGAAAAAGAGCTTACTCAATCCAGGGTCAAACACTTAAGTATGCATTCAGCTCAGCGCGAGGCCTGAAGACCTCCACAAACTCAACGACTGACATTCTGTTTTCTTTACCCCTCACCTACTCCCACCACTTAATTATGTTAAAAAGCTCACATTCTTTGCTGTGTATTATATATACACGGTGTGTGCGTGTGTGATGAAACCACAAAGACTTTGCGTTTTCTGTCACTGCTGGATGGTGAAGCCGCTGGGGACTGGGTTCAATAATGAGCAGGGAACGCTCTCAAACTGGATTTAAAGACCATGAAATTACCCCTAAAGTTCATCACCAGAAAACATTTACCTGGAAAATTAACAGAATAAACTTTTTTTTTCACGGGCATCGCAATGTTTTCCATTCCACTGCTCGCATAGATTCTCTATAATTCAAAAGAGCGCTCTAATCAAAAAAGAGGGTTTAAACAGCACAGTGTTTGAGAGGACACCATTGTCCACAGGGACGCCATAAAGGACAGAGTCCCTTTTATCATGTAATGGTGTAGGAAAGAAGCTTTCGAGTCATGCTATGGACATATTGTGACACTTTAGACCGATAAAATGGCATTTTGTTATGACAGACATTTCTCCACATTGTTAGAACATTATTATTTTTTAACGTTCTACTCTAAACTCTATACTGTACTTCATAACCTGCCTTTAAAAAATGTTTCTTATAAGTCCCATAACATGTTTATTTATTTTTGGCATTTCTTTTTAAAATAGTTTTTGTTTTATCAGTACAATTACATATCCAGAATAACTGAAACCCAAACATTTTGTCTCTATTTTAATGTTTAATTTCAAGTAAATGACTAAATGGAAGCAGACAAAAACAATGTGTAACTTCATAAAAAAAAGAAAGAAAAGAAAAGCCAAAAAAGAAGTTGTGTGGATTTATCATTTCCACTAGATGTCACTGTTTCACAATTGTTCCCAGTCTCTCCATGAACATTGTTGACTTCTTTCTTCTGGTTTCTACAGAGGAGGAGCACCAATGGATGCACAAAGGTACGCCTCAACCAGGAATTCATTACCTTTCCACGTCTGTGCATTGTCTTTTTTCTCTTTTGTCTGCTCAGTCTGCAACCATGTTTGTGTTTCTATTATGTTTCAACAGAACAAATCCCATTCACTCAGACCTGAAATGACTGCTTGCTCCATTTTATTATTTTTTTGTCCCTGTTACCTTGTACTCCTGGACCACCCCATTCTGTTCCTCTTCTGGAGGGGGTTGCCAGGAGACGACGATGGCAGTCCCATTGTCTCCACTCTCTGTCACTGTAACCTTACGAGGAGGGGCACTGGGGGCTGGTAGGGTTAGACAAAGAAAAACTAAAACACATGTTTGTGCATGATACATTTTTGTATACCAGCATTCAGTCCAGCTCAGCTTCTAATGTGCAATTTAGCTGTCATAATTTACCTTTGTGTGAGAGTAAAGCTGATGTGAGAACAACCGACTAATCAGGAAAATTATAATGCTTTTATCTGAAAACAGTGGTAACACAGACCTGATTTTTTTCAAGTAAATAAAAGGAAATTACTGTTTACTCAAAGCAAAAAAAGGAAATTATTAAAGTGAAGTATATGGTTATGTGTGAAGGGGAACATGTGGTCAAATGGTAATCTAATAAAAATAAAAAATTAACATAATAATAAATAATAAATGTGCTAATGAGAAAAGAAAAAAATATGTTTACAACTATAAAAACAATTATTAACAAAAGTCACACACAACGGAACAAAGGCAGGGAAAGCAGGAGCGGATCAAAACACTCCTACACATGCGACACGCAGGAAAACATACACACACTCCTGTAAACACACTCACACTTCTCTTGAGCTGTTGTCTGCAAATTAAAATTTGCACTTGGGTTTTAACCAAACCTCAAGAGACTGCAACAACCACACCCTATGAAAAATTAGTACAACACATGCACTGGGGTGTTTTTTGTATGGCTTTCCATACTCGGGCATGCTTTGAATACACCACATTTCAACATATTATAATCCCACCACCTCCCTGGCCTCCCTGCCTGCCACGAACAGCTGTTATACGCTTTTACGCATGCAAGCTGTGCAGATAAAATAATGTTTGTGTACACACGAAAAGATGCACGCACACATGGAAGCGCCAAAGAACGCTCGCTCCCAGACATCCACGCTCGCAAACCCCCACCTTCTTCAAGCGTCTTGCCAATTTTAACATCGCTGTCTGTTCCCTGGAACTCGTTGAAGAACGGGCGGACTTTGAATTCGTACGTGACGCCCTTCCGAAGCTGCGTCACCACCGTGCTGTCCTCTCCGGGGGTCCGCACCTCAAACACAGCCCATTCGCTCTTCTGCTGGCCTTCTGGCGAGGGCCTGTACATCACCTTGTAGCCCTGGATGTACTGTGATTGCTGTTCCACCTAGTGAACGGCACAGGAGCAGAAACAAAGGAATAAGTGGGAGTTGATCATGCGTTTCACAATTCCTGGTTAAAATGGAAACCTCACAAGGCAAGGAAAGATCTGGAGACTGGTACACCAGACTTTGGATGGTACGGGGTGCTAATTCATCACATCACCCATCTGTTTATCCATCCACATGTACATCCCTCCCTTTGACTGTGTGTCTATGCACCATTTGGAACAGCAGTGATTTGTGCAAACCACACTATGAGGTCATTGGCCAAAGGTTCCTCCAAGTCTGGATCTGGTTAAATAGGGCCCAGACTCCCAGAACAGTCTGTCTCATCCTGTCCTGCTTTCCAATGACTGCAGAAGTCAGGACAGAGGGGGAAACATAGATCTTTACAGAGTACAAAAAGTTGACACTACAAGAAACTAAACTGCATTTGATCTAGTGAAAATGGAAGGGAGAAAGAGCATACATGGAAATAATATTGGTTTGTTGGTTAGTCAATGAATAATTAATAAGGCTGTGCAATGCAGCATTTCTTTATTTTTTTTTCAAAAAAAATAACTGCTATCCAGTGCTCTAATATCCCTACAAATCCTTGTGGAAGGCAAGCAACACAGGCTTGTAAAGATTTTAATGATTTCTTTATCCCTTCTCCATAAAATGTGCTGCCAGGTCAGGTGGTCTTCATTAGCCAGGAAACTGTGCAACCATTTACCACAAAACAAAGGACAATGTAAAACCAAGAGCCTCCACATTGGGAATAAATTTAGCGCCATAAAATGAGAAAACCATGCCATTTAACTACGATGTCAGCTTCCCCTCGTGTCATGTGTTTTACTGGAACATTCCAGTAAGACGCAGTAACTGGGCTGTAATGTTTTAAATCAGTCTTGACATGTCAGTATCCTTTCCACCTTTCCTCATCCCTCATTTATCACTCACTGTGGCACTTCATAATACCTGGGAATGTAGGGGGTAGCCATTTGACAAAAGGGAACACTGAAACTGTTTTTACCATTCGTCCTTTATACTATTACTATAGGAGCTTCAGCAAAAATGATTTTCCGTATTCTTTTAAAAACTGATACATTGTTTAAATTAGTTATATGAGGAGTTTAGTATCTCAGATTTAGCTTGCAGCACAGAAATAACCACTATGAGCTCCCAGTTGTACTTCACCACATATCTGGTTTACCATCTGTAAGCTATTTCCACCTAAGAGCGAGAGCTGAACCCTTTTTTCTTCACAGTTGTATTGTTTTAAAAGTCCTCAAAAGTTTTTAATCGAAGACGGCCCAGACTGGTATTATGTTATATTTTACTAAATGGCACTCTGAAGTAAGGCAGTCGCTCTATTGATGGTTTGGTTTTTGTGAAAAAAAAACTGAAGATTTTTTTTTTGGAAAAGAAAGAACATTCAGTTAGACAGTAAGAGAACTTTTACTGCTTTTGAAAATGTTTGTGAAGTGTTCAACTTTTGCAAGATGTTAGATTTTTAACATAACTGCTCATCTGAGTGGTTTGACAATTTAAAGGGATCCACGATTACTTGTAACATTAGACTTGATTTTGATAAATATTTATTTTAACTGTAAAATAAAGACTGTAAAATACTGTAGGCTGTTTAGTTTTGTAAACAGTTAGCCTTTGCACTAGCACTGACACTATACTGCCTTATATGTATTTGCTCAGCGCTAGTGCGACTAACTAACAAGCTAAACTGAGGTCCTCCATCCATATTTTCAGTTGCAGTTGCGTTCCCCTCTCTGTCATGTGGATGGAGGACCTCAGTGACGAGAGGAGAATGTGTAGCGCTGAGCTAATAC